GGCTGTTCCCACCTCCTATAACCTCCGATTCAGTACCAACACTTTATTTAGTCTACCTCAATACAAAAATAAAGCAGCCCGATCCTCCTGTTCCTACAGAGCACCGCAATTGTGGAACGACCTCCCTCACACTTTCAAATGTATCTTTCCTGGTAAAATATTTTATAAATAAATAATAGATAGATAGATAGATAAATGGATGGATGGATGGATGGATGGATAGATAGATAGATAGTGTTTAAGAGCTTTTCTGGGAAGCTGCCACCCTACCTGAGCAGAATGCTCTCCCCGGCTGTTCCCACCTACTATAACCTCCGATTCAGTACCAACACTTTATTTAGTCTACCTCAATACAAAAATAAAGCAGCCCGATCCTCCTGCTCCTACAGAGCACCGCAATTGTGGAACGACCTCCCTCACACTTTCAAATGTATCTTTCCTGGTAAAATATTTTATAAATAAATAAATAAATAATAGATAGATAGATAGATAGATAGATAGATAGATTCCTAATGGCATTTACAGCATTATTCACTCATTTCCAAATAGTTGTGAAAACAAAATAACAAATATGAATTGCAATATTTATGCTAAAACAGTCAAACTATGACCATAGTCGAATTGGATATTTCAGCCTCCATTTTGCCATTTATACTTTTATTCACTACTATTTTGAAATCAGATAATAATACTTGAAATTTAATTAGTTGAGAATTCAAAGTGAATTACAAATTTTAGGCCGTCATAGCAAAACTGGAAGATTCTCCACATCTATGGTTTAATTTGGCTAAAATGTTAAATTCACGTTAACTTCCCATCCCTTCGCTCTTTAGTGAATAACTCTGACATTCACATCCATTTAAGAAACCCTAAAAAAGCATCCGATAAGAAGCTAATTACCCATTATATCAGTATTAAAGATACAGGGCTGCTTGGCCTATTGATGGCCTACTAGGCAATTAAAAACTTTGCTACAACCTAAAATGTGAGAGTCAAATTGGAATGCTCGTCACTAGTCGTTATAATGTAAAACCTGGCATTGATAGATTCTGTTTATGTAATGCTTTTAAATTATCTATCCAATACCGATTGTCATGGCCACCTTATAAGTAAAATCCTCTACAGGACACTCATCTGTATCTGTACAGAGAGACTTTCACAGGGTGGAGGTGTTAATCACTAAACACTGAGTTTTGGTGAACTGACAACAAAGTAGAGACATTTAGTTCATGGTACCCAGGATAGATTATATGTCCAACAAAGCTGAGTTTCCGATGTGTTTTCAACTCAAACATGTTGGCCAGTGTTTAACTGGTAAAATTTTAATCTCCCAATGAAAGCACCATCATAGGTGTCTACAAGTGGTCTTCCAGTTCCCTGGTCACAATTTAAATCTCCACATTAAATTTCTTATCACGAAAATAAATTGGTTTTGTATATATCTGGTTATTTCTAGAGCAAAATATTTGGTATTTTTTCCTGATTTTGTACAAAAGTTGTATTTTTTAAAGTAGCATTTTTAATTTTTCTCTTTACAAAGACATGTCAACTTGTATGGCGATGGCCTTGCCAGGGCCGTCTTTAATATCGATTGGACCCTGGGCAAGCATTTGCTTGGGCCCCCTATACCTGCCCTTCCCCACTCCCCCATGCCCCCCCATTCTCAACCCCCAGCTCCCTGGCATGCAATCAGGGCCTCCACCCCAACCTACTGATAGAACTAATGTAGAGAGGGCTGTGGTGCAAGAATTGTTTTCTCTCCAATAGCGCAAGAGTGGAGAAAAGTTAGATACTCATCTGTCGTACAACTTCCACGATGGGGATCCACCGTATGGCCATTCTTGTAGGGTTGTATTTGTGAGCAGTGTTTGTGAATTTGAATGTAAGCATGTTTTTGTATAGAGTATATGTGTGCATATAGGGGTGTATTTGTATATACTGTTACTATTGGAATGCAGCTGTGTACTTTTGTGTAGTGTTTGTGTTTGAATGCAGGGGTGTGTGTTTGTATGTAGTGTTGGCTTTTAAATGAAGTTGTGCTTTTGTGTATTGAGTTGGCGTTTGTATATAATTTTAGTGTTTTATGTAACATTTGTAATGGCATGCAGGGGTGTGTGTGGATGTAGGGTTGTCTTTTAAATGCAGATGTACATTTGTGCGTAGTTTAGTAAGTGAAGGGTGTGTTTGTATACAATTTTGGAGTTTGTATTAGGGGTGTGTTTGTATGTAATGATTGTGTTTGCTGTGGTGTGTTTGATTGCCTGGATATATGCACATACATACATACACAGACACATATAGCCAGATACACACACTGACACACACAGCCAGATACACAGACTGACACAAACACAGACAGATACACACACAGCTAGATACACAGCCAGATATACACACAGCTAGGTACACTCACAGCCAGGTACAAACACTCACAGTCAGGTACACACACTGACATACACACAGCCAGATACACACACTGACATACACACAGCCAGATATACACACATAGTCAGATATACACACACACACACACACACACAGCCAGATAAACACACACACACAGCCAGATAAACACACACACACACACACATATAGCCAGATAAACACACACACATAGCCAGATAAACACACACACATATAGCCAGATAAACACACACACATAGCCAGATGCACTCACTCAGACCCAGGTACACACACATATATCAAGTTACATCATGTTTTAGCAACCCTCTTGTCTCCTTACCTTTTGGGTACAGAAGGGTGGCTTCCCTGGGGTCCAGTGGGAGCTGGAGGGCCAAGGCTGATGAGAGTCTGTCCTCAGTCCCTTTTCTCCTCCTGTGTATACCTCCTCTACCTCCCCAGCGGCACTCTGTTACTAGTGAGGTGAGATCACTTCCTCCCAGCAGGCAACATCAAAGGGGCCAAGACCGAGCACTCTTAAAGGGCTGAGGGCCCTTAATTACATCAGGTGCTGCAGTCCACAGGATTTGGACCCCAGCAGGGGGCCCACAGAGCAGCTACTTTGGGCCCCCCAGGAGTAACTGGGCCCGGGGCAGCTGCCCCTTTTGCCCCCCTTTAAAGACGGGCTTGGGCCTTGCCTTGGGGGAATAGTTAGGGAGATGTACCAATTTGCTTCTTGGTGACTCTACTAGGAGCCTCTGTGACTACTTGACATTTGCTCACACAAGAGTGCAAACTGGGATCTATGGAAGGTCTCCTGAGATTTTAGGTTCTCCATGAATTAATCTCCCAATATATAATATGGAATGATACCTGTTCCCATCCGTCATTGCAACCCACAGCTGATAGGAAATGTGAGGATGTCGCAAGAGAAACTCCATTCTCGAGGACTGCCAATGATCGGAACTTAACTGAGACAAAGTAGTCTCTACTTGATATTGTGTAAATCATTTGAATGAGTTAGATTTTCAAACAAATTCCACTACAGTCAAAAAGAGACTGTCAGAGAACCGGCACGTGTTGATATTTTACTTTGAATGGTAACATTATAGACTCCATACAGATACGCAATGCTGTCATGAGGATCAGTAAAGGAAGAGTTTTCATATTCTACTTTATTTTGTATAAAAAATACACATTCCCCATGCTTTGCAAGTAACAGATGTTCTGATGTGTAGAAATATTAATGCAAAGATGTTCGATGTTTATATCATTTACCACTAGAGGGCACACTTGTCATTCTACTGGTTTTGCACTAGTTTAGAATACTGTACATGGAGCTCTGGTTACCTAGAGCAGTGTTTCTCAATCTCTTACGGAGCAGTATCCACGCAGGTCAAACAAAAATCCTAAGTACCCCTAACTCGAGTAAGTAATTTACGTTGATTTAAATTACAATTGAAACGTTTAGACACGGATATTTAAATTCATTTCCATATTGGAGAACTAGCTTTATTAAAGGTAGTAAATAATGGGGGGGACTCAGCACAAACTCAAGACATCCTGGACGCAAATACGGTGACCCCCCACGGATGAGGACACTAAATTGGGACACTTGCATTTAAGAAAGGGTATCTTTGATCCAGGGAGTTGGGGGAGAGCGGGTTGGGAAGAGGGGTAGAGGGGAATATTCCTAACTGTTAATGATGCATGCTAATATAACCTGACGCTGACTGAATCGTATTTACTGCTATTCCTAATTGTACAGGCCCATTGTTTCCTAGAGGCATCAGATAGAAATAGTTTGTAGAACACCAACCGGACCCCATTGTATCAACTGGAAGTAGCGGTCCCTCAGGGAAAACAGTGAGGACACGCAGACTGGTATATAACCTAGACCTCAGTGCTTACAGTACCGCAGACATACAGATAACTTAAAGCCCTGACTAGTATAGGCTGCACATACCCGCTTGCATCTGCCTGCCTAATCCAAGCTACGCACCCTATTCAGCCCTCACTTGCAGATACAAACGCACTTAGGTGCGCCTTCCCCCCTCACCCCCCTTATAGGTACTGGAGAGAATAGGGACGAAATGAAGGAAGTGAGTATCGAATAAATTGCGCATGATCATGGGAGCCGGAGCTCTAGGGATAGTTATAGTTTTTTTTTTTGAAATTTGTAGTTTATTGGTTTTCCACAAGTGTAAATGGGCGGGGGGAAGGGGAGAGGGTACAGAAAAAAGAAGGAGGAGGGATGGAGGGAGGGGGGGGACAGTCACGATACCATGAGTCACATGTTGAGCGATGGGTATGCCTTTACATTATTTACACAGTTACAGTTCTTACGCAGTTACATTGCTTACAGTTGCGTATATTAGTTCGTTTTTACACAATAGTTACGTCAGTCACACAATAGTTACACAATTTACACAATAGTTACACAATAGTTACACCATAGTCGGGGACCTCTCTATGGTAGTCGCCTAGCTAGCCACTATTCCAGCCACGATGTATGCTATTCTGTCTGTCTCTTAGTTCCTCACTGCCTGACTGTCCTAGTCCTGCGGTTTGCTCTTGGGTCGCTACAGCGTCCTACTATATTAGGCGTTGGGGTTAGCCTTTCTCCAGGTGCGCCATTGGTCCCAAGCCCCTCCAAGGCTGCCTGAGCCAGAGCGCGTCCCGGAAAAACTGGTTTCATAGATTGCCTGGTTATCTATATCCTGAATAAGGTTTGGGATATGGGGGGCCTCATTTGTTTTCCAGGATCTGGCTATTAGTTTTTGTGCGGTCAGCAGTATATGGTATATTAGTTTTCTCGACTGTTTGGGTACTTCCCTAGGGACGTCCAATAGCAAAAAGGGCCTGGGTTCAAAAGGTATTTTGATTTTTGTGGTGTCAGCAATTAGTTTTTGGACATCTCCCCAGTACCTAATTAATCGTGGGCAACGCCACCATATGTGAAGGACTGACCCCGCCTCTTGTTTGCATCTCCAGCACATCGGAGATGAGTGAGGATACAGTTTATGTAGGCGAAGCGGCACCATATACCACCTGTATATTGTTTTCTGGTATTGCTCCATGAGGGAGGCAGATTTGACCAGCTTTCTAACGGAGGATGTGAGAGTTTTCCACTGATTATCAGTGATGGAGGTTTGAAGGTCCATTTCCCATTGGCTTGCCTGTGTGGAGCCCGGTAGGGACTGGTATGGCAGAATTAGTTTATAGCAATTGGAGAGTGGCTTATAAAGTGGAGGAATTTTGCCCGTGATACCTATTTGTTCCCAGGTGGAGGGGTCTCCCATTTTATTTGATTCTACTTTGTTGTCCTTGTTGAGTTTGTGCAGGAAGGATTTAAGTTGGATGTATGAGTATTGTGAGGTGTGTGGGATATTGTAGGTTCTACTGAGACGCTCGAAGCTCATTAGTCCACCTGGGTCATAGGCTTGGGACAGGAAGGAGATACCTTTCTCTTTCCATGGGGTGGCATGGAAGGTGGGGATGCAGTACGTGATGGCCTCGATGGGCGTCGCCATTGAGAGGGGGCGGGCCGTTTCGAATTTCGTTCTATGTAAGTCCCAAGTTTGCAGTGCTAGGTGAAGTTGTAACGGTATCAGCGGAATAGGTGGTCTGCTCTTGTTAGGTAGCCATAGCAGGTTGGCGACTAGGAAAGGTTTAATAGCTAGGTTTTCTAGGGTCACCCATTGTGGTCGGTTATCTTTAGTTAGGTGGTTCAATAGGGGCGCTAGGACCGCAGCCTGGTAGTAGTGTTTTACATTCGGGAATGCCATACCTCCACGCCCTATGGGGGCCGACAATAGTTTGTTGGAGACCCTTGCCCGTCCCTTGCCCCAGATAAACTGGAGGAGCATAGACTGTATGGTTTTAAAATAGGATTGTGGAACTTTCAAGGGGAGGTTCCTAAACACATATTGTAGTTTCGGTAATACGGTCATTTTAATTGCGACAATGCGCTCCGTCCAGGTAAGGAACAGTTTGCCCCAACCCCGTAACAGGGCCAAGCATTCAGTCCAGACTCTGGTATAATTGGTAGGGAACATGTCAGAGGACTTCCTAGTGAACGTCAGGCCTAGGTATTTTATATCATTTTTTCTCCACTCGAATTGGTAATCTTTGCGTAGTTGCGCTAGGACCTGTGGGTCCAAGCGCAGCCCCAATGCCTGGGTTTTAGTTGCGTTTAGGGAATAGTAGGAGAGTTTCCCATATTTGTCAATGAGCTTCATGATGTGAGGGAGGGATTTATCTGGTTGGCAGACATATAGTAGGATATCGTCAGCGAATGCGCTGATCTTGATGTGCTGGTCCTGCCAGGTGATGCCTTTTATGTCTGGGTGTGATCTAATGGCAACTAGTAGCGGCTCCAAGGCCAATACATACAACAGAGGTGACAAAGGGCATCCCTGTCGGGTGCCATTCGTGATTTTGAATGGATCTGATTTAAATCCCGCTTGTAGCACCTGGGCCCTAGGGTGGCTATATAGAGCGAATACCTGTTGAATGAACTGTTGTGGGAACCCAAACACTGAGAGAACCTGCCGTAGGAAGGGCCAGCCCAGGCGGTCGAACGCTTTTTCAGCATCCAAGGCTAAGAGCAACCCGCCCGGGCCAGACCTCCGCATCTGCTCCATGAGCAGGGACAATTTCCGGGTATTATCGAGTCCCTGCCTCCCCATCACAAACCCCGTTTGGTCGTCATGGATGATTGAGGGTAGTATTTTGCCCAATCTGGAGGCCAAGATTTTTGCATAAATCTTAGCATCCGTATTTAGCAGGGATATTGGCCTGAAATTCTTACATTGATCCGGGGGCTTTCCTGGCTTTGGCAGCGTAACTATGGTCACGAGTAGCATTTCGGAAGGAAGCTCCCCTTTCTCTGAGGCTGCCTGGAACACTTTAACTAGTCTGGGACCCAGTACCTCTGCAAACGTCTTATAGTACAGGTTGGGGAGGCCGTCTGCTCCTGGGGACTTGCCTGGGGGAAGGTGTTGTATCGTATGGAGCACCTCCTGCAGTGTAATAGGTTGGAGTAATAGATCCAATTGGGATTGATTAATTCGTGGGAGGTGAAGGTGGGACAGAAACTCCGTTATGTTGTCGTTTTCTATGGGGGGGATTTCGGGTTTGTCTCCCAGGTTGTACAGGTCGGAGTAGTATTTTGCAAACTCCTGGGTAATATCTAATGGGTTTTGTAGTTTAGTACCGTCTGGGCCCTGTATGTATGCTACTTTGGCGGCCGCCAATTTCTCTCTCAGCCTATTAGCTAATTGTTTATTAGATTTCCCACTGTGGTGGTAATGGGTCGCTTTCAGTTTAAGTAAGAAATAGGACGTTTTGGCTGCGTGCATTTCGGTAAGTTTGTCCGTTAGAGTTTGGATTTGTTGTGCGAGAGTGTGTGAAGGTGTCTGCTTATTTTGTGCAGTGATAATTGCCAATTGTTTTTGGCAGTCCATTATAGTCAATTGTTTGTTTTTCTTTTTAAGGTATGAGGAGCGTCTAATGAACAGGCCTCTTACTACAGCTTTGTGTGCCAACCATACCATGACATCGGGTGTCTCCCCCTCAGAATTTGTTAGGAAGTACTGGGAAAGTTCACCTGCCACTTGGTCTACAAAGGTTTTATCCTGCAGTAAAGATTCATTTAGTCTCCAATTCCCTCTACCTTTAAACTGAAATTTGTCGTACAACTCTAGGGTCACTGGGCTGTGGTCCGACCACGTTATGTCTCCCATAACACACCCTGAGGTCTGCGCCAGTGTGGACTGATCCACATAAAAGGTGTCAATGAGAGTATACGTGTTGTGTACCTTAGAGTGAAATGAGTAATCCCGTTCACTAGGGTGAAGTACTCTCCAACTATCATATAGATTATGCAATAAGAGTATTTTGGACAGTTTCTTGCTCGTGGAAACTAGGCTCGCTCTTCTAGGCCCCTTCAAGGTGGCGGTTGAGTCAATGTCTGGAGACGTTATGAAGTTAAAGTCACCACACATCACCAATCCTCCCTGCCTCAGTTTATCTATTTCATTAAGTATGCGTCTTAGGAACCTCTCCGCTCCAGTGTTGGGAAAATATACCGAGGACAACGTGTATTGAACATTATTGAATAGGCCCACAAGAATGATATACCTTCCCTGGGTGTCTATGGAGATTGCTTGCTCCTGGAACGCTATGTCTTTGTGTATGAGGATGGAAACTCCTTTCGACTTATTATCTGAAAGGGCATGGTACTGTGTGGGATACAGTTTGGCGAAAATTGAAGGGGTTCGAGGTTTCATGAAGTGCGTTTCCTGAACACACGCTATATCTATCTCACTTTTCTTAAGATCCTGCAGTAGTAGCCTGCGTTTCCCCGGGGAGTTTAGACCTTTTACATTGTATGTTAAAATTTTAACCATTGTGAAGTAGGCAAGGTATGGGCTCTTTTAGACCTGGTCTTTGGTACCAGAAGAGTTGTAAAAACAGTGATTTGTTCCAGCAGTACGCATCTGCTATATCTTTTTTTTGAGCTGTATGGATCGCGACTGGGGGGAGCTGGTGTGGGATAGGGCGAAGGGTGAGTAAGTGGGCAGGGTGGGTTGGGGAGAACTGGTGGGTGACACACCCAACTCGGCTCCAAAATGTGGGGCCGTGTGACCTTACTTATCGAGTAAGTATGGCTGGTGGGGGTAGTGGTGATGAAGTGTCTACTCATAGTGAACTATCACCATGAAACCAGTGGGGCAGTCTTACGCTTATTTATACTATCAGTAAGTCATAAATTATAATCACAAGATTTCGAAGTAGCTTATCCACTAACTAAGTCCAACCACATTACACAGTATCATTCTACATTTTATCGACATTTGTGCTCACGTCCCCGTGAGAGGACTGTTAAAGGCTTGGTGGGCAGCGTCATATTCTAGCCAGCAATCCTTGCTGCTTAGTCTACGGAACCATTTTGTACCCGCTACATTGATGCGGTAAACTTAACTATCTCTAATATAACTAGTAACATAACATCAAGATTAAATAGGGCATATTTAGTTACGTATATCATCGGAGGTTACCAGTCTTTTCATTTGACAGTCCACTCTGGTGACTTCCTTGGCATCGCTGTTGTCTTGGCTGGTTCTGGTGTCGGTGTAGGGAGCCCCCAGTCACCCATTTTCTGGATACCTTGTTTCGTGTTGGTAATAGAATGTATCGCTCCTTGGTGGGAGACCAAAAGCTTAGCAGGGAACCCCCATCGGTAGCTCAGGTTGTGCTCGCGTAGGATGGAGGTGATCGGCGACATTGACTTCCTGAACTGCAGTGTATCCGCTGACAGGTCCGCGAAGATTTTGACTGTGCTGTATTCTTTCGGCATGCCCGAATTCCTGCTAACTCGCATGAGCTTGTCTTTTGCGTGGAAGAAATGTATCCTGGCAATTACATCTCTCTCAGCCGTTTGCGGCAAGTGTTTCGGCCTGCGTAGCCTGTGTGCTCTGTCTATAATCAGTTGGTCCGGATGGATTTCTGGGACCAGGCACTGGAACATGTCTGACAAGTAATTATGCAGTTCGTCATTAGTAACGGTTTCCGTGATTCCCCTGAACCGGAGATTGTTTCTCCTCGCCCTGTCTTCTATGTCAGCCAGTTTTAGCCTATGCGCTTCCAGACTTACTTCAAATTCCTGGAGTTTGTCTGCCAAGCTGTTGTGAGCCTCCGCATATTCGTCCATCTTGGACTCCATTTGAGCTGTGCGAGTCCCAATATCTTGTATATCCTTCTGTAAGTCTGCTGTCATAGCTTGTATTTGCAGCTGCATATTTTTCTGTATGGTGTCTGAGAATTCTGACATTAGTGAGCGCATTCCCCTCACAGTGAGTGGTTGATCTTCTGCACTTTGTGTGGGAGATGAGCGAGGTGAGAAGGAGTGTTCCTGTGGTCCCGGGTCGCCGCCATCTTGTGCAGGCTCTTCTCCCTCATGCTGTCTGGAGGCCGCGATTTTCGCGCCGAAAAAGGAGGCTCGTTCCGCTTTCCCCGTTTTGGATTTGGGTCTGTGGGCCATTGCGCACTTAAGCCCCCTGTACTTGGTGTAATAATTGCTCGGTATACCGCTTATTTATCGCCCGCTCTGGTTTCTATGCAGGGAGCTGCTCCTACATGCGACCGCTCAGCTCCGGCGGCAAGCCACGCCCCCGGGATAGTTATAGTTTTAAGACGAGTCAGGGTGCTTTAACCATGACACGACACCAATACTGGATCTGAGGAGGCCACCACTCCACAACCCGGTGGATATGGGAGGTTGACGTGGGGCGACCGGTGCGAATGGACGTGGGAGTGGTGTTCGCTGCTGGGGGAGAAGCGAATGGGGAATGACGGGATGTTCTGGATTAAGGAAATGCTATCTTAATCGTGACACTTGTAAATATGTTAATTTGTTAATTTGATGTTAATGCTTAAATGCCTTGAATATGAATACACAATACATGTTAGCTGCAGCCACTCACTCAGCTAAGATTTTGGGGGTCGCGGCGGAAAGGAGAACCCCATGTATACTCTTTGACACCTTATCTGGGCGGAGCTCGAGTCACGTTCCCTAACACATACACTCGCGCTGAGGTCTGTGGCCAGGCTACGGGGTGTCTCGTCTCTTGGGCTGGTACCAGAGTGGGCGCCTGTTAGCGCTGGTCACTGCGCGAGACCTCCCCCTACCCTGTAGAGGGAGTGCGGATCTGGGACATTACCGGATTCAGAGGGGATACCTACACTAAAGGGTATACACCTCCTTTTCGATCTTAACTTTCACACAACACATCCGGCTCCATACTCGGGCACTGGGCCCCGGACTCCGGACTTGTTGCACCTGTCGCAACCCCCTATTTACGGTTCCCTCCCATACACTTAACCCTCGCCTCCCTCCACCTACCTCCCCTGCCCCTCCTCCGCACCTCGGCCCATCCTGTGCCTCGGACGCGTGGTCCCCCCTTGGGGCGGCGGAGCATTGGGAGAGACTACGGGTCCGACACTGGTCTGGAGAGGTTCCCAACATACATAGAGAAAATGACCTACCAAAGCGCACCGTTGAAGATCATCACACAGAATTGCAGAGGACTCAATATCCCTGAACGTAGGACACACCTGCTACGAGAATTGAGGAAAAAACACGTAGCGATAGCAATGCTCCAAGAAACGCATTTCAAGGAAGGATCGTCCCCAAGAATACGGAACAAGCATTATCCTAACAACTACTTCTGCAACCACCCGACGGCTCATAAATCTGGAGTGGCCATACTATTAGCCGCTGAGCTAGAGTTCAAAGAACTAGAACATTTACAGGACTCACAAGGAAGATACCTCTTCCTTAAAGGCACTATAGCAGACAGGATATACACAATAGCAACCATCTATGTGCCCAATAAAAGACAGGCCCCATTCCTCCGAAATGTGTTACAACAACTGGAGGAATTCACGGATGGGATACTATTGGTAGGAGGCGACTTCAACACTCCACTCGATCCTACACTGGACTCCTCCACAGGTCATAGTTGCCTCTCACAACATAACATTAGATCCATCCGACAGTCGTTGGAGGCCCTGAGGCTAGTGTACTGTTGGAGAACGCTTCACCCCACAGTGAAGGACTTCACCTACTTTTCCGCCCTTCACGATCGATATTCCCGTATAGACTATATCCTTACTGCTCAGGAAGGACTTTCCCACCTGCGCGGAGCTAAGATCGAGACTGGCACCTGGTCGGACCATGGATCGGTCGAGATAGAACTGGACTCACCCCTGTACAGACCAAAGGCGTGGACCTGGAGACTTAACGAAGCTCTACTGCTAGACCCAGATACCAAGGAACAAATTCAAAAAGCACTGGAACAATACTTTAGGGAAAATGACTCCCCAGAGACCTCCCCAATATCCATATGGGAAGCCCACAAGAGTGTGATACGAGGTGAACTTATACGCATCGCCTCTCGGAAACGGAAGGCATTTATGCATGAAATGGTGGATTTGTATCACTCTATATCGACCCTGGAACGCCAACACAAACGCTCCCAGATAAATGCAGTTTACGGAGAATTGATGGAACACAGACGAAAACTCAAAGACCTAATCTTGAAAAGGCATCTTCGAGCCGTACAACGCACAAAGAGCTTTTACTACGTACACGCCAATAAAGGAGGTAAATTCCTGGCGAAACTGCTGAAAGGCCCTTTGCCCCATAGACAAATACGCAGGATTCGCCTGGCTTCGGGGGAGATCTCCCCCTTTCCAGAGAAAATCGCAGGGGAATTTCGGGCCTTTTACGAGCTCCTCTATAATTTGTATGCGCCTAAAGAGGCCACCGAAGCCGCGAGAGAAAATGGGAAAATACAGGACTACCTATCCAACACAATCACAAACACAATCAATCAAGACTCGGCAACACAGCTGGACACACCAATCACAGTGGAGGAATTAGCCGCAGCCCTTAAGTCATCTAAAACTGGCAAGGCTCCAGGTCCGGACGGCATCTCCACGGGATACTATAAAACCTTCTCAGGAATACTGTTGCCCTGGCTCACCAAGGCACTCAACGTGGTTGGTGAGGGGGGAGAACTGGGGGGGGGAGTCCCTATCAGCCACCATTACAGTCCTACTTAAACCAGGGAAAGATCCACTCCATTGCAGCAGCTATCGACCGATTTCGCTACTAAATGTGGACGCTAAATTGTTCACGAAAACACTAGCGACCAGAATTAAACATCTCCTCCCCGATTTGATACACGAGGACCAGACGGGATTCATCCCGTAGCACCCTACGACTTTTCTCTATCCAACACCACGCGAGGAAACTGGGGACCCGGTTGCTATTGTTATCAACAGATGCAGAAAAAGCATTTGACCGGGTCAATTGGACATATATGCTGGCAACACTGAAACGACTAGGCTGTGGCCAGAGACTCCTCACGTGGATATCTGCCATTTATAGCAAACCGCGCGCATCAGTGCGGATCAATGGGGCTACGACCGCGGACTTTGCGATCAACAATGGGACCCGGCAGGGATGCCCAGTATCACCGTTGCTGTTCGCAATGACCCTGGAGCCACTATTACAGGCAATCCGCCAAAATCCGGACATACAAGGATATAATTGGCAGGGAGCACAGCACAAAGTTGCCGCATATGCAGGTGACCTCCTCTTCTTTGTCCGTAACCCTAGGATCACTATGCCGTGCCTTCTCTCCGAGTTTAACAGATTTGGCCAGATATCGGGATTTAAACTTAACATCTCGAAATGCGAGGTCCTGAATTTAACAATCCCCACAGATGAATACCGCTCTTTAGAATCGGAATTTGGGTTCCACTGGTGCCACGACAAGATGAAATATCTGGGCATCTGGGTAACCACGAACCCGGGGAATATATATCACTATAACTTTAC